AAAAGCCTATAAATACACCCCTTTCCTTCACAATAAAACCAATTCCTTCTTCCATACTCTTAAACTCAGTTTAGAATAGCATTTCTTTATATTTTTCTAGCATGTTTAGTCTCCAAATGAGGAGCTAAACTTCCATTTCTTGGTTTTGCTCTTGAAGCTTGTTGATTATTAAAGTTGTGAGTTATTTTCTTAACTTCTTCTCTTGATTATTAGTTCTTCCCTTAATCTCATTCTATATTAATGTTGGAGGGTTGCTAAGTGACGATTAGTTAACGTTCCGACATTAATTATTACTAGAAACGATCAACGAACCGATGGTTAAACGTTGATGGTTTCACAAGTAAGTAACTTCGGTTTATTAATGCACAGTCGTGATTAATAAACTTAAGAGGGATTAATTTGTTGGTTAAACCGAAACCGTTGTGTTGAGGTTATCAATCTCAATTGATTTCATCAAGGAGTTAAAGAGATTAAATGCTACTATCAAGTTGGTATACGGCGTTGTTCTATATTTGATTAATAGTAAGGGTTATTAATGAACGGTCGTTGTTAATAACTACCCTCGATGAATTGGAGATACTCCTCGATTGAGTATTCGAGAGGGGATAAGTTATAGATATAACAATGATCGACTAAAATATATCAACAAGTGGAAAGTAGCAAGGCCAAGTCCATTTTATTCTTGTATTTAATCTCATATAAGTCGTTCATCTTCGTGTTTAAATTAAATTAAATCATTCAACCCAAAACCCCCCCTTTATTTACTTTTGTCATTAAAAAGATAATTATTCTTTTCTCTATGGATACGAACTCTACTTCACCTATACTACGTATAAGTGTTAGTATCGATTTATTTTGACGCACCGTGACAGAGTGCTCGTTAGTGCGCCTTGTCAAAGAGACCAACAAACTATCTTTCTTTTTTTGTTTCCAGCCACCATGTCGCCAAAAAATCCGCCAGAAAAGTGATATTAACAAATTCATTTTTAAAAAATAATCTAAATAGAGCCTAAAAATTTAAAGAGGACGATAGTTTGTTGATCTCCTTGACGAGGCGCACCTCCCAGTATTTTTCATTTTATGTTTCGGAGACTTCTGAAAATAGGGGTTAAATTTTCTAACGGCATTAGACGTCATGCCCCTGTTGTGATAACGGAATTGAAGCACATGTCCCACTTTGTTAAAAAATGAAACATGTGCCCCTATCTGAAAAGGGCCCAAACCACATGTACCTTTTATGTACTTTTCCCTAATTTTACAGCTATTAAAGTCTGGTCTGGTATGGTCTGATTTAATCTATCTTATTTTGTCTAGTTTTATTTGGTCTGAGACTAAAATCAGTCCAAGTATAAACGTCCTAATATTACTCTAAAGACCCATTATAGGACTATAATCTTAGGAATATTTTGATTTTGCACCCCGCTTTTTGGGTGATATTGAACTTTGCATCACATTTTCAAAACTCTTGCACTTTGCACCCTATTTCCCCTAAAATGCCTTTCCATTTTCACCCCATTCAAGATTTTTTCTTCACAAAATGTTGTAGATAGGGTGCAAAGTCAAAAAATTTTGAAAATGAGTCCAATATCACCCAAAAAGTGGGGTGCAAACTCAAAATTCCCCAAAATCTTTTCATGCTCAAAATATGAGTAATGTGTTTCCCCTCTTCTCATTATATCATCTTCCTAGCTATAATCTCCAATAAAACTAATTTTATTAATAATAAAATCGTAGGATTAGTTTTGTTTGTAATAAAAACAAAAATATAATAAAACAATTATTAAATTTATAATCAAACGTTATAAAATCAAAAATGCAGGTCTATTCTAAGTCAATAAACACCGAATGCAGATTCTTGTGAGCGTCTCTATACTTCTCCATAAGTTGGAGAAGAAAGTGAATGACCTCAGTTGTTGAGTGACCATGCATAAAACTGAATTGATTCTCTGAAATCTTCATAGTTCTTCGAAGTCTTTGCTCAATCACTCGCTCCCAAAGTTTCATGGTGTGACTCATAAGCTTAAATCCTCAATAGTTGGCACATTCTTGTACATCACATTTATTCTTGAATAAGGGGATAAGAGTGCTCTTCCTCCAAATCATGTTGAAGAAACTTGTTAACCACTCGATGCCTCTCTCCCCCAAACTTCTCCAAGCCTCAATCGGTATGCCATATGGATCCATTGCTTTCTTCCTCCCCATCTTCCTCAGAGCCTCTTTAACTTCTGTTGTTTGGATCCTTCTCACAAATTTACGATTTACCATCACAAAATCACGATTTACCATACAATCTGGTACGGTCAAATCACTGATATCTTGCGCTTTGTTCCCGTTGAATAGTGTATCAAAGTATGACCTTCACCTCTCTTTTATCTCCCCGTCCTCTATTAGTACCCTTTGATCAACATCCTTCACACACTTAACTTTTCCGATATCTTGAGTCCTCTACGGTCACGAAGACGAGCAAGTCTGTAAATATCTTTTTCTCCTTTCTTAAAGTCCAATTTTGCATACAATTCTTTGTTCATTTTTCCTCTTGCTTCCTTTAAAGTTTTCTTTGCTCTTCTTCTAGCCTCCTTGTACTCCTCTATGTTCTCGTCGCTCCAACTTTTGCTCAATTTCTTATACCATTCCCTTTTGATCCTTATTGCTTGTTTTACCTCATCATTCCACCAAGATGTGTCCTTTTTCGGTGGTAGACATACTTTAGATTTTCCAAGTATCTTTTTCTCCACTTTATTAAAAGTGGACTCCGTTTATCCACATCATCCATATGTGCATCATTATCAATTGACCAAACATCTTCCTCAAACATTTTCTGTGCAAAAGTTTGTTGGGGATCCCCCTCGAGCCTTCACCACTTTATCTTTGGCTCCCCTTGCACCTTAACTCTGCTTCTCTTTTTACCTTGAAAATCAAGCACAAACATCCTATGTTGAGTGACAACACTCTCACTTAGGAGATACCCCTTTACAATCACTGTAGCTAGGGGTGGACTCGGGCCGGGCGGCCCGGCATGGAACCGGCCCGGCCCGGCTCGGTACCCGATCTTGGAGCCGGTTCGGGCCAACCGGAACCGCCCAGTTCTCGGCGCGGGCTCGGGTCCCCTAAAACGAGAACCGGCCCGGCCGGTCCGGGCCCGATTCGCACCTAATTTTATTTTGTTTTTGTTTTTTCATTTTTTTGTTCTACCAGGTTGGGTTGGGTGTTTGGGGGGGTTGGGGGGGTGAAGGGGGGGGGTCGGGGATTGTTTACAAAAGCAAAAGAAAATAATAATAAAAACCGAACCGGAACCGGCCCGGTTTGGGCCCGACCTGGAACCGCCGGCTACCCGGGCCGGTTCCGGTTCCACCTTTCCCAAATAAAAGCCTGGCCGGGCCCAGGACCGAACCGGAACCGGCCCAGCCCGAGTCCACCCCTAACTGTAGCTAGTTCTCCAAGTCATCCGTACTAAAAAGTAGTCAATTTGGGTACTATTAGCTCCACTTCTATAAGTCACAAGGTGAGAGTCTCTTTTCTTGAACCAAGTGTTCATCACAACCAACTCATTTGTCGGGGCAAAATCCAGGATGTTCTTCCTCGCTTCATTTCTAGTGCCAAAACCATGTCCGCCATGGATACTCTCAAAACCATCACGACTTGGGCCCACATGCCCGTTGAGGTCGCCTCCTATGACCAGTTTCTCTCCCCTTGGCACTCGTCGCGCCATCTCCTCAAGATCCTCCCAAAATTGTTGGGTAATGGATGCACCCAATCCCACTTGTGGTGCATAGGCACTTACCACTGACATGATCTCATCTCCTATAATCAATTTAATGCTCATGATGCGGTCGTTCTTCCTGAAGACTTTCACCACACTCTGAACATAATCATGTGCCACCATAATGCCTACTCCATTTCAGTTCCTTTCTCTCCAGGATACCACAACTTAAAACCTCCAGAATTAATCTCACGTGCCTTTTCTCCAACTCACTTAGTTTCTTGCATGCGCATTATGCTGACATTCCTCCTTTTCATAACCTCAACTATCTCAGAAGAACTTCCCGTAAGAGAGCCAACATTCCATGCCCCAAAACGCAATCTAGCACCCTGTCTTTTCTTCTTCACACCACATCGACTCACACGATGCCCTTGCATATTTGACATCATCCCCCGGGCATTGGAGTGGTGCGTCGCTTCCGGGCGAGTGGCGACGACCTAGCTGCCTTAGCTTTCTTATCACCACACCCAGGCCTATGAAGTGTACCGCACCTTTGCATATTTGACACCACCCCCAGGCGGAGGGATGACACGTCGCATACGGGCGACGACCTAGCTGTAGCGATATTCATATTTCGATTCATGTCATGTGATGTGACTAAGTGATATTGTTCGCTGTCACGCGCCTACCACAGTACCCTCCTCCTTTATCCAGGCTTGGGACAGGCATGATATAAAAAAAATGATCTCATGGCGGAGTTTACGTAAACAAAAATGAGAGTTGAGTTTAGTAATGTGATCTAGGTTGGTGGTAATAAGGGGTGTATAAGGTTTGTCAGTGGGTGTGGGATAACCATGTTTTCAACTTCGATGGAAGTAAAGGGTGTCAAAGGTTGAGTCTATGAGCATGATTGGCCGAGGTAAAGGATGAAGGTAATTAATCAAATGTCATAAACACTTCAAATACAAAGATACTACTCCGTACATGATATTTGGGGGGGGAAATATTTTTAATGAAAATAGTTGTTCACTCGAACTTGATGGTACTGTAAGTAGAAGTAAGTTTAAAGATGTCGGTGGGCTTAACTAATTAAACTAGTAGATGAGAGATTACTATATAAAAATGCATAAGTATGCTTCTGCAATTCAAGTATATGGGTCAGAGTTTCACTCTATATTTGTCAGCTTCTACTTAAAGACGGAATTACTCCCAGTTACCTATCTTTTATGTCAATGCAAGTACAAACTCCACAAACAAGAAGTGATGGATTAGTTAGATTTTTAGGTTCACGTAACAACAAGTAAAATGAAGAGATGATATAACGGGTAGTTTAAAATAGTGAATACTTGAATACATCACTTTGTATTTTCACTTGATTGAAGTGAAAATGATAAAAGGGACAAATTAATGAACTACAAAAAAAGAATGGTGGAAGAAACAACATATTATTGGCACTTTTGCTCCAAGGCTTTCTTGTGTACTAATATATCCGGATTGAACCTATTGCTAAAGCAAACAAAAAATGAAGCAATTATAGACAAGTTTCTATATACATTTTGGTTTACAGTAATTTCAATTTAAGCTCTATTCACTAGATCAGCTTCTGAGTGAATTGTTCTAGACTTGGCACTTCTGGTGCTATGCTTTTGCTCACTATCTCCTTTTTCCACCTGCTTTTGCTCAGTCACTTCTGTTTTACTCAGTTTCGGTGGTTCTTTCTCAGTTGAAGGAGCTACGTAAACAAATGTTACATTTGAAACATCCTTGTAATCCTTCAAAGGTTCCAAAACCTTAACCACTTCGCTCATGGTTGGCCTATTCCTTGGCCGCTCGCTTAGGCATTGATATGCCAAAGCAGCCGCTTTATGTGCCCCATCTTCACAATACATTCCTTCAAGCCTGGGGTCCATTATACGGCGGAGCTTCCGTGAATCTTTCAAATGAAACCTCGCCCAATCCACTAAGTTATGTTCTCTCGATGGCCTGCTCTTGTCTATTGACTTCCGACCAGTCAAAAGTTCCAACAGCACTACACCGAAACTGTACACGTCACTGGCGGCGGTCAAATGCCCCGTCATTATGTATTCTGGGGCTGCGTACCCATGTGTGCCCATCACTCGTGTGCTGACGTGTGTGTCGTCCCCTTCCGGTCCGTCCTTCGCTAATCCAAAATCGGACAGCTTGGCACTGTAGTCCTGCAAATGTAACGAAAATTGATCAGCTATTGAAGGGTTGAATTGTATTAAGTGTTGATAATATTGCTTAGCCTAATCCAACCCAAAAGAGGTAAGACTTGTTCATTTGTAAAAAAAACAAAAAAAAACCTTGTTCATTTGTATTATTGCAGTCCAAACCAGGCTGAAATAATACTGCCCGAGTGATTTTTATTTGTTTTGTATTCCTTTTCGGAAAGTTCTTTATTATTTGTTCAATTTCAAGTTTTGGGACCTTTTTCAGTTTCTTTCAATTTTCATCATTTTACACTTTTTGATAGCATATCCTACATTATTTATGCGTTCACTACCCACACTAGTTTCATTGATTTGTTTAAGTTTGATTTGGTATGATCTGAATTTGTATGGTAAATCTCTGTTTTATATGTATTTTACTATTGACAAAGTCTGATTTGATCTGGTCTGGTACTAACTGCGCATTAATTTTTGAAAATATAGCAACTTACCGAGTCAAGCAAGATATTTGAAGCCTTAAAATCACGATATATGATAGGTTTTGCTGCCCCGTGCAGGAAAGCAAGACCCTTTGCTGCTCCCATTGCGATCTTCATTCGGGCAGACCATGGAAGCGACGCGGAAAATCCTGTGTATTCAAGAAATGTCAATAATATACGGAGTAGTTGTTATAAAAACTACGGAGTACTATAATAACGGAGAAAGTCGTACTCCATATTTGAGGTCAGAAAAGAATAAGAAGACCCTTGACTTTTCAATAAAACATAAAATATTTAAAAAGATTCCCTATTATGTAATTGATTAAATATGGACAAATTGAGCTAAACTTCCAAGTTGGTTACAGCTACCTACACCCTATTAGGGCTTTATATGTTAGGTGAGGTGATGGTTGAATTAGTAACTTTTGTTTTTTAATTGTTGGTGTGTATTATGAGAGTTTTTTGAGAAATATTTTATGGAAATAAATTTTATTTATATAAATATTAATAAAATTATTGTTAGATCTTAGTATATTGTCATGATCAGTTAATTTGAAAATTGAATATAAATTACAATGACAAAAGTTATTATCGTCGTCATTACTATTCAGATATCACAATTTTATTAAAAAATTGTTTTAGTCATAAATATGTGATTATAAAGGTCAGATTCTAATATTGTTCTATAATGGAATGTCCGATATGTTTATGAAATCAACCATGCTTAACCATGTTTGTTGTACCACCACTTTGTATCCACTTTATACTCACCTCTGTGAAGGCTATTTTTTTCTGTGAAGCCGGTTCACAGACAAAATATGTCTTTGAATTTCTTCACAGACATATTTTGTCTGTGAAGGAATTCATAGACAAAAAAATAACTTCACAAACATGGGTAGGTACAAAAGTTTGTATAAAAGTGGGTACAAACATCATTTTCCTTATAAAATAGTTATATTTTTCTAACTAAAAATAGTGTTGTTTATAAAAATGTGATTTTTTAAGTATAATAATTATAGGAGTAGTATTAACTTTAATCATACTAACTTAAGTTTAACTTTTACTTTTAATAACATTGTACTTGCTCATAAAATTACTAGTCAATAGTCATAAATGATGGAGTTCAAAGCGAGCATACTTCTAAAGAGATGATTCTCCAAGCTGCCTCTGGGCATGTATTCATAGACCAAAAGCCGTTGATCCTCTTCGCAACAATATCCGATCAGCTTCACCAGATGCGGATGCCTCAATTGCCCAAGACAAATCACTTCCGTCTGCAAATTCAAATCAAATTATGAACAATCGTCAGCTTCAATTCAATTGATTCTGTCTCAAGTAAAAATTACTACTTGGTATATCTGAACCGACTAATAACTATCCAATTAAGTATATGCATATATTTGAAAAGTGAGGTGTAGAGATCTCACCAGCCATTCTCTGTGGCCTTGAGTGCCGTTATCAATATCCAGGCGCTTAACGGCAACGGGTTGAGCACTCAATCCGGGTCGGATCTTATCGTCGACGAAGCCCTTGTGGACCTGGCCAAATCCGCCCTGGCCGAGGAAATTACTGGACGAAAAGTTGTGCGTGATGAGGCGGAGCTCCTGAACCGTGAAAATGTGGAGATTCGAGCCGGCGAGGGAGATGGAGAGGTCCTCCGAAAGCGTGGAAGAGCTCAAATCCGAAAACGAAACCCTCTGGAAGTGAAACTTAAACGAACTCTGCTTCTCAGCCACTTTCTTCGCCTCCTCCTCCTGCTTCGGATTAACATCCGCTTTCTTCTTCACCTTCCGACACCCCGGGATACACGAACAGAATCTAATGCGCATTATGATGCCGGCGGCGACTTGCGTGAATAGGTTCCAGAAGCTCCGATTGACTTTCCGTCGACGTGTGGGGAGGGAGAAATGGTAAAGCACCAAAAAATTCAACCGGCGGGCGGACCTACTGCTTTGTGGAACTGTCTCAGACTTGAAGATGAAGAAAGATATCCGCACCGGGTTGCATTTATAGTCGAGGCAGGGGAGGGGGGTTTTTATTCCACGGATTCGTGTTAACGGGTCGGGTTTAAATGTGAGCCGGACTTGTTCAATAGTCTCGACTCTCAATAACGTGTATACAACGGAGTGCTAGGTAAGAACTAGGAAGTAATGGTCTTTCACTCCCCGGTTACAAATACTGAAGATCAATTTCTAAGGGTCTGTTTGCAACAGCTTCTGCTTTTAAAAAAGTGCTTTTTTTAATGAAATGAGGAAAAGTGATTAAATAAAAGTTGATAGTGTTTGAGAAAAAAGTGATTTTGAAAAGTAAAAGTGGGTAGTGTTTGGTAAAATAAGTGCTTTTTTGTGTAATAGAAAAAGTAAAAGCACTTTTGACGCGGAAGCCGAGAAAAATAAAAGTTGTAGTGTTTGGGAAAATAAGTGCTTTTTTAAAGCAAAAAGCTGAGAAGTGCTTTTTTAAAAGCAGTTGCAAACCAACCCTAACAAACGTCAAAGCTTCTTTCAAAAAGAAAAAAAAAACGTCAAAGCTATTCTGTAATCTCGAAATTCCACGTTATTTCCCCAAAACATATTCGGGCTTGAAGCGGAGATTCCCCATTATAATTTTCTAATTAGGAAAATGTGTAAATATACCGTCTAATATGAATGTGAGAACATATATATTAATGTTTTATTTTTTGAAATAAATATACCCTTAATGGCCTTAAAGTTTATGTGGAAGTACATATAAACTTCTGAACTTTAAAGAGTATAAAAATATCTCTCATATTCTTATAAATGAACAAATTTATATTTATTGACTTTAAATAAACAAAATAAATTTTAAATTCGAATTTAGAAAATAAAAAATTAAAGAATTAAAATATTAACTCTTAAATTTTAAATTGAAAAATTATTATTTTCCCCTTGTAAATAAAGCACTTCAAATTCATAACTATGAAGTATTAGTTTTGATCTTGTTTCGAAATTTTGAACTAATTGTTATATTTTTTAAATAACATTTTTTTATTTTGTTTAAAACCTTAATAAAATTAAATTCACTATCAGGTAATCTTGGATTATTTATCATTACAAAATATGTAATTTTATAGTGCAAAATATACAAAAAAAAATAATGATTTTTTTACACTACAACACATATATTAAAACTTTTTTAAAGAATCTTTAATATATAGTACAGTTTTGAAATAATATTTTATACTAATAATATTAAATTATGATATGAAATGATAAAAATGGAGAATTGGACACAATTAGATTTATTATTTTATTTTTATATTTCAATTTATAATTTATTTTTGGTATTTTTGAAATTTATTTTATCTATTTAAAGTCAAAAAGGATAAATTTGCCCATTTTTTTAAAGCTCATGGTAAATATGCACTTACACGTAACCTTTAGGGGTGTTGGGATATTGGGTTTCGGCCCAATCCGGGCCAAAATATCTTAAGGACCCAGAAAAGAGGACAAGCCCAAGGAAAACCCAGCGGAGCAAGAGAGTTCCTAAACGAGATCTATGCAGCTGGTGAAGATACCGTTCGGTATATCCCGAACGGGCCAGATTCCACACTTGGCGGATAATCGACATCATTCTGCCTACTAACCTGGTGAGTCCAAGAACCGGTCGAGAAGCCTTGCAAGTTGCAGGGTGCATTTAATGCTAGAGCATGTGGGTCGCAAGTGGGTGCATGGGTGCACAAGTGGCAAGGAAAGCAATCAATCGGATTCGGCCACGTCATCCCCCTCATACTCACCTCTAGTATAAATAGCAGCATTTATGCCATTGCAAAGGATAGCATTTTGATACTCATAAGCAGTATAATCTCACTCTAGTTCTCGTATTAGCAATTGAACCGAGGTGCCGTTCGGCCATTTCCCTGTAATCGTTGTTATTGTTCTAATACATGTGAGCTATTGAGTGCATTACTTAGTTAATCTTATTCTTAATCACTTCATATCATAAATCATCCTTAATATCCAAAGGTTGGTGTTGGGCTTTCGGATCTACGGAAATAAACCTCAACAAGGGATATATTTGTTCAAAAAAAATATAGAACATTGATATATTTATTCTCACACTCATACTACAAGAGTATATTTGTACTCTTTCCCTCCTTTTCTATTATATTGCTTTCGTTCCTCTAAAATTATGATCAAGTAATGAATATTAACAAAGTGAAATTGTATGATTGATATGGAGTATTAAATTATTAAAATTTGAATGAAGTAAATACGAATGACCATCATTCAAATATAATTGAATATCGTAAGTTTAAAACTACAAAGTACAAACTCGATTAGTAATTCAAGAATTGGCTAAATCAGTTTAATCTGCTCAAATTGATGGAATTCTAATTGAAGCAATTGAATTGACTCGATCCGTTGAATTGGAGAAAGATTAAAATATACTCCCTCCGTCCCTTTTTATTTAGCCAAATACTATTTTTCAAGTCAAAGTTGTTTAACTTTGACCGATTATATATTTATACACGGTAATATTGATAATATGAAAATGTTCTTTTTTAAAAATACTATCATAAAAGTATAAATTTATTATGTTTCACATAAATATATTAGTCAAATTAATGGATCAAAGTTACTCATCTTTGACTGGAAAAGTCAAAGATGACTAAATAAAAAGGGACGGGGGTATAGTAGTATCTAATAATGGAATCAAGAAAAGATTATGAAAAAAATTGACCATCTATAGTAACTTAAAAGAATTGTTAACCAAGCATTCCAACTCAGCTGGTTGTGAAGTTATCGTGCCTAGTAGGAGGTCTCGAGTTCGAAACCCGCGAGGCACATAAGGGTTCGAAACTCAATGAAGTGAGTTTCAGCCCTGATTACTCCAGGCTTCCCAAAGCCCCCTCCCCAACCCCCCTAGAGTAAAAGAAAAAAAAAGAAAAAAAAAAGAAAAAAACTTAAAAGAATTGCTTTGGAATTATTGGGCTGAGCAACGAGCCTTAAGTGGCTTTGAGCTCATGCAGTGATACTATTTGATGTATTTTTGATTTATTGTTGGGGCCTGTTCCATGCACATTTGGATTTATTTTGGATGGACTGTTTTTTAAAACTCTCCCCGGCCTCCTCTGGGGTGGGGGCAGAAATGGTAGTTTCTATTTTTAGTTAGCTTGTTAGCTTAGATAGGGCTTTTGAGACATGTAATATGGTACTTTTGGATGATATTTTTAATATATACTTACATTTAATCTAAAAAAGTTAAAAGAATTACTCCAAATAGGATTAAAAAATAGAAGGGAAAATGAAAACTAATAATCCAACTTTTTAGCGGTTTTCTTTCAATAATCTCACCTTTTGATTATTCATATATAATGCAACCTTTGCACCTCGATCATCTTCATTCATTGGTCCATGGTCGGTTAATGGCCTATTATTCCAAGTTATTTTCTTATCTTTGCAAAATATTATCTTTGTGAAAGATGAGATTTATGGTATAATGATTTGCAAAGATAAGAAAATAGCTTGGAATAACAGGTCATCAACCGGTCAGGGACCAGTGAATGGAGATGAGGTGCAAAGGTTGGATTATTCATGAATAACTAAAAGGTTGAATTACTGTAAGAAGACCGCTAAAAGGTTAGATTATTAGTTTTCATTTTCCCAAAATATAACTAACTATATTTTATTCTCAAATTTAGACTTATTTGATTCTATTAACGGTATAAAGTTCTCCCAATTATGAGTGAATGAGCTTTATTTTGGAAGAAAGCATCAATGATTCTATTTGTGCACTTTATCTATTTTCTTGTCATCTTAAAAAAAAAAGTAACTAAATAAAAGTTACTTTGTTTAATAAAAAATTTGGTTCATAAGATTGATAAGTTCAAAATTAGAGTTATCAAACGAATTAAAATATATATATTATCACTTTAATGATATTCTATAATATTAATTAATGGATGATGATTTAATAATTATATACTCCGTAGTAAATTTTAAAAGCAAAAGAAAGAATAAATAAAAGAGCTAAGCTTGTGAGCAAGAAAACGCCAGAGGGGTGTGCAAAAAACTTTTATACAATTATTTTGTACGAAGTGGGGATAAGGGTCAGATAGGGCCTCGAACTTGGAAAAAAATGTCAAATAAGGCCATATTTAGGATGCTCTGTCCGGCCGATGCCATTTGTGGTGGTTCCCGGTGGAATTTTTTGATGAAATTTTTTGAGAATCTTATTCATTAAGTCTAGTTTACTTATATCAAATTTGAACTAAAACTTCAATCGGGAAGGCATTCAAATGAATTCTTGAAAATAACTGTGCAGTTAAAAGCGCAGTTATCTTCAAGAATTCATTTGAATGTCTTCCCGATTGAATTTTTAGTTCAAATTTGATATGAGTAAACTAGACTTAATGAATAAGATTCTCAAAAAATTTCATCAAAAAATTCCACCGGGAACCGCCCTAAATGGTGTCAGCCGGACATAGCATCCTAAATATGGCCTTATTTGACATTTTTTTCCAAGTTCGAGGCCCTATCTGACCCTTATCCCGTACGAAGTGCTATATTAGAAATATAAAAAAGCTGGAGACCAAACCTCCTACCCTATGTGTACTTTGGTAGTTTGGTAGTTGGTACTTCCTCAGTTCCTCTAGTGCGGGTGTACTCAAATAAATTATACGGAGGAGTCCGTATTGTTTAGCTCCGGGCCTCCGGCCAATTATAATAAAGTAAGTAATATAGGTAGTGCATGATATTTTCTTTTGGACTGAAATTTGCTGGTCTGGTCTGGTCTGATCTGGTCTGATCTGTTTAAGTCTGGTCTGGTCTGGGCTGGTCTGAAATGGTCTGGTCTAGCAAACCTCTGGTCTCTGCGTATTTTATAACTATCCAAGTCTGGTCCGGTCTGTTTAAGTCTGGTCTGGTCTGGTCTGTTTAAGTCTGGTCTGGTCTGGTTTGGTCTGGGACTGAAAACAGTCCAAAAGATAA